GTTCGTCCATAAATAACAGAGTTTCGTTTAAAAAAAAAGGCATTCACCTTGGAAAAATCTTAGGCCGATTTTATTACCTGAATATATGAACAGAGTACTCGCATTTTCCACTGATAGGATTTCATCGCTTAAATATATCGTGCCTTGACATGAGATCGCAAAGCCGGTACCCCAGTTACTCAACTTACTTTAATTAGAGATGGAGTTTGAACTGAAGAAATGTTGTCTCAATTTCGTGAGGTTATGTGCATCAGTGAAGTGTAGTTGTTAATTTCATGTCTGACAGTTTTATTGCTGTTGGAAATAACCTTTTTATTGCTTTTAAACTTTGTTTTGGTTGCGTAGTCTTCAATTTTGTCATCATTTTATTGGTTTTGAGGAAATAATCGCTGTAAAACTCTAAGCTCTACCTAGCCTTCAACTCTTTATCGTTTTTATGCATTGAACTGAATTATCATCAACTATATTATATATCCTTGGTACATAACCGTTTTAATCCTGTACCGATTCAGTGTTATTTATTATGTTTTGTTCAATTCGACACCGAAGTAGGTTACAAAATCGATAGTTCACTGCTTTCTCACTTTGTTGAAACGTGTTTCATTACGATCTCTCATGAATTGCATAAAACCTCTAAAGATACACGCTTAATGGGCATTCGCCGAAATTTCGACCGAATAATGTGAAAGGTTATCAGTTCAAGGGAAAGTTGCATTCCACTACAAGATTCAACATCTTTTACAACTAAACATTCCACAATTCGTGGTACAATTAACAGAAGGAAACGCTATTTTTATTGGCAAACACCAGTCACATTTCAAAGTTGAAACACTTAAAATTTTATAAGTAATGTCGAATGCATTACGACGTGTTTTTCAAGCTGACTTTCATATGCGGTTTTCAAAACGAATATTTCTGATTAAAATTAATTGAAAACGTCTACTTTTCGGTGATATATAGACTTGCTAATGAGGCAACCTGTTCGCCTGCAATTTTTTAAAGGCAAGACCAAATTTATTATGGGCATTAACGGTAAGATTCGCGATTGCAATCTCGCGAGCATTGGGCAAATTGATTGAGACGGGCACAAAACGGTAAATAGTGAATCTCTATTTGCGGCTCTAGAAAGGATAAGAGATGAAAGGTTACTTGATTTTGCCAGTTTTATTCAAGAAGAAGAAGAACTTTATTTCCAGGCAGGCAAGCCTAATATAAATATAATTATTGTACTTTATCTAAACATAATACATAAAAATCAAAATAAATCAGTCTATTGTAACCAAATAACAGAAAATCACAAAAAAAACTATATCGCACATATTCTATATAGGATACACGTTTACATATTTACTTATATATCCATTCAAAACAAAGTCTTAGTTATTATTATATTTGAAAATTCCACAGTATGCATAAGTCAATATGACCTACACGCTTCGTCTAAAGCGGCGTTGTCGCTTCTATTATAAAGTAGCGGCTTCTTCGATTTTTCAAATGGAAAACCCCGTATATAATATTATATTGTGATTCATCATCACTTTGTCAACAAATTCATATACTATTTCCCTATACCTATCTATTACCGTTTAGAAGATATAAATTAATTTCTATATTTTTTTCTACCAAACATGAACTTTTATAAATGCTGATAATCTTGAACTCTCATGCACTAAAACGATCAAATTTGAAATGGAGTGGAGTGATACTATGAGGATCTTCACTCCGAGTCATATTTACCTTTGCCTCATACAGGGTCTTCAAAAAATGCAGATACTTTGATGTCATGAAAAAATGAGTGGAACTCAATTTTTTCAAATGGAACACCCTGTATATTTCAACATTTTTGAGCTCTACAACTAATTTTAGATTAACTTTGTTCAGATAATACTATTTCTATTTTGAACCGTTTTCGAGATAAACTGTTTCAAACGGAAATTGACGTGGTTTTCTTGCTCGTTTTTTTTGGATTCATCACTTATTTTGGATATTCAACATTTTTTTTATACTTAGTAATATGTCTTTTTGATCCAGTTTTTTAACTGTCTCAGATCAGTCAATTCGAAATTGGTATGTACCTACCTTGGAAAAAGTTACAATTTGTATACATTGAGGTATTGGTCTCTAACGTACAACAGTACACATTAATATTTTTTAATAGTGTGCTTTGGAAAAATAAATAAACCAATTATTTGAAACCAATTATTTAACGTTAGACTTTCGTTGGGGGTTTTGACTGATTGTGATAGCTTCGATGCCATATCATCGAAGTTTGGCCAGCAAACCCTCATGCCACACACTTTAAAGGCTTCAAAAATATTAAGCGCAACAGGTCTTGATTCTTCATGTTTCTCGATTGCGTTATTCTAAATATGGCTTGCATACGATAGAAGGTCGCCTAAAACTAATTAATACAGTTTATTGTAAGATTTTCACTATAAAAGGTTTTCTAATTTTCATTCACTGATATATTACAATTCTAGTGTAATCTAATCTCTCTCTCTCTCTCTCTCTCTCTCCGAGGACCTGATCTAATGATTGTTTTGTCCAATGACAGACTTCAAGAGAAATTTTGCATTATAAAATCATTAAATCAACATCACGTACCAATGCATGAAATTTACAGTATTGTTATTTCCTGAATAATTGTGGTTATGCTTATAATTTGTCGTATAATGGAATGCAACAATTGAATATCTATTAACGGAGGCCGATGTCAAACTTTCTCTAATACCGATGATGATTATTATAATGACCGAAGTACTTTTCATACTACTTTCGCTGAAAAAATTTTGGTTGATTTGATTGGGCCGTTATTTTGGGAAATGGAGCTGGATGTTTCAGTAATTTCCTGTGAAAAAATTATAAAATGTTGTCACGAGTGACTGAGTACCTAACTATTATTTATTTTTGAGAAACGATGTCTAAAAGTAATTCAAATTTCTGTCATTTGTGAATGTAATGGATCTACAATATTTTTCCATCGTTATAGAATGTATGCAAGGTGTTGGCTCAGCCCATAAACGATCCTTATCAAAATACTCATCAATCAAACCTAATCAGATAGTCTAGAGAAATATTCTTTTAAGGTATTTGATTTTTGTTACTCAATTCTTCATAGTTATGCAATTTTCGTAATTATACATTTTTCAGTCGGTATGAAGAATGTTGTAAAACCTTGATCGCTCCTGACTTCAACGGGGTATGAGTCTTAACGTAATGATGTAGTTATTACTTACGAAGAGTACCTGTTTTTTACGAAATCTTTAATAGGTACTGGAAATTTTAATTTTTCGGACATTCACAGGCCTTTCCAGTTAAAATAAAAAACTCTCTGTGTGCATTTAGGTTTTTTTGTTTTTCATTCATAATAAAAATATACATTGAAGAAGCACAATTGTTTTCGTTGGAAATAAAAAAGTCCATTCGAAATTTTTGTATGAGGTTTCTCAATCATCATGCTAAATGAAAATCTATTAATATTTATTTCAATCACTATCTACTCAAAACGTTATTTTTCAATTCAGTCATATGTATTGACAAACAAATTCTAAATTTCAGTTCCACAGAATTAAAAAAAAACAATCCATTCGAAATTATTTGTAGTAGGTTCCTCAATCTTCAGACTAAATGAAAAAATTTAATTACTTTCCGCTTATAACTTAATTATTGTTCATTTAAATCATACATATTGTATGATTTCCACAACTTTTGAATTTTCAGTTTTTCAGATTTTAGAAAAATCATGGCCACCCGAAGTATATCTCCGTTAAGTTATGCAATATTACCTTTCTCCATTCACACTAAAATGAGCAAACCTTTCATACACCCTGAAATTGTATTTTTTTCAGAAATTCGATTGACGTTATTGAAAATATAATGATATCATGAAAAGAGAAATGAAAATTTCTATGTTTTTTACCACTTTTATTTGTAACTAACGTTACTGCAGTTTCGTCCTATATGGACATTTGCAAACTTAAACAAAGTTTCTTGTTTAAGTTTGAAAATGTCAATTTTATTTTTTATTTCACAAGAAAATATAAAAGCCATTATATACCTAAAAGACAAACAGAAAGAAATGTGATGGAAATAAAATGATTCAAAGAACAAAGTAATCTCATAAACTCTCAAAAATCTCAGTGATAAGCATATTCCATTCATTTATTGGACTAATCGCGACTGATTCTAAATTGGTAGCAAATTGTATAGAACTGGCCGATACCTGATGAAAATACATATTAAAAAACTAATTGATACAGTTTATTGTATGATTATTAGTTTTCTCTTGGTAGCAAATTGCCAAAAACGACTGTCTTCGATAGGAAGACATAACAAATTGTCTCTGGTCTGGATTCCTGGCCATACTGACCTGGAAGGCAATGAGGCTGCTGACTCACATGCGAAGGAGAGCGCTGCAAGCAGCTTCATCGAACCAGAACTTGTCATTGGCATCGCTGTAGGCTTTGCCAAACAAAGATTGAACACGTGGATGGCAAGAAGATTTATGAACTTCTGGCAGAATCTTACAGAGTTGGCTCACTCCAAGGCGTTTATTCACCCTTCGAAGCTTGATACAGTTGTTGGACTACATTAGGGATGAACTACGATCTCTGACAGGTCTTCTTACAGGTCACTATCATTTGAATCATCATATGCAGAGACTCGGACTGTCGAAAGACGGAGTATTTGGACTTGATTCGCTCCCCGCGCTGGGGAGCCAATCAAGTCTTTAGAGTTTGGCAAAGTCGTACTCTAACCATCTGACCTGAAAGACCACTCACCATACATACTAATCGGCTTTGTTAAGAAGCTGGGTTTATATGGTCGAGTGTGAATAGGTGTGAGCCACAATAAATCCTTGCTGGTTGCGGTGCAAGGTCAAATAGACCCACTAACTTTGGATGAAACCTAACCTAATCGCGACTGAAGATAAATATTCATCATCGATCTTCATGTATTTATCTAATGCTAAGAAAGGAATTAAGTATATTTATTGTTTCAGATTTGGCGGCTATAAGACGACTCTTAGAACAAGAACACACAACTGGAACAACGTGTCCTAGCTGTGAGATGCCCTTCGACAAAGGCAAAAAGAGGCGTCTCATAGATAATTGTGGCCATGAGAGGTGTTATTCCTGCATGTTCACCAACGAAGCTTGTCCACTCTGTGGCATTAATGGATCTACAATAGAAAAAAGTAAGTTGAAAATGGATTCAAATGCTCCAAAGCATTATCATGCATAGTGCACGTGAGAGCCCGGACAAGGCTGCTTGTACAGAGTCGCACTAAGGAGCGACCTATTTTTTTATTATTTTTTATGATTTGAAATGGGTAAAATTTCATTCAGATAAGAAGGGGCTATATAAGAAAAACATTCTTGAAATTTGGAAGTACGGTGCCTAGGTTTGAGTTAATTCTCAAATTGATGTCAGAATGCCTGCTTAATAAACTAAATAAATAACTAGGTGTTTTAGTTTGAAGTAACTTAAACAAAACCATTTTCATCTAATATAGGACTCTGTACCTCATATTTAGCTGCTTCATTTTTAACAAAAATGGTGTGACATGTTCACCATATGGTATACAGCATATGAATCGCATGCAAGCATTTTGTATACGTTATAACTTCTGTTTGTTATATGCGGCAAAAAATTGTAATACACCGAACAACAATACTCGATATGGGGGTTATAAAGAGTTTTAATTAACCTGAGTTTCATTTATTCTGATAACCGATAATTGAATTTATATAGAGATTTCAATTTGAAGAATGATACTTTGAAAAGGTTTGTCACATGTTCATGGCAAGGCAAAGAGCTATCTATGGTTACGCCAAGGTTTCAACCACTGTCTACCCAGTCAATGTTTGAGTTATCGAGAGCCAGTCTAAAGCTACACTGAGTTTCTACTATTTGTCTTTGAGACCCTATGTTTAAGGCCAAAGTTTTATTTGGATTGATTTTCAGTCCATGATTCTCCGAGTATGTGATAAGAAAGTGGGGTAATCAAAAAGAAACACTGAAAACATCAAGGGTCCTGAAATACTTCCCTGCGGTACACCTGAGATTTTTTCTTTTAGGAATGACCATGAGTAATCATCCAGTTTGACCCTCTGTGATCGGCCTGTGAGATAGCTGGTCATCCATTTAAGAGAAATGTCATCGAATCCTTTGAATTTGAGCTTGCTGATGAGTAAATCGAAATTAACTAAATCGAAAGCTTCACTTTGACCAAGCAGTACTAAAATAATGACTTTTGATTGATCTCTGAATCTCGCAAGATCGTCAATTACTTTCAAGAGGGTAGTCTGTGTTTCGTGTTTTTTGCGAAACCCAGACTGCTCGTACGGGAGTATTCGATTTCCTTCAAGAAAAGCTCTTATTTGACGGGAAACATTTTTCTCGAATATTTTAGAGAATGAAGGCAGAATGCTGATATAGTGTAGGTCACTGAACGTGGTAGGTGCATTCTTTTTCGGAATTGGAATTATATTAGCAACCTTCCAAACATCTGGAAAAACACCTTGTCTGAAGGACTCGTTGAAAATATGTTTTACTTTATGGTATCACTAAAGAAATTATCTTGATATTTATATTGGTAATACCTAAAGCATTAGATTTTATTTCTTTGATAGCAGTCAAAATATCATCATCACATATATTGGTGAGGGAAAAGTTCATAGGAGCGTTCAATTTATTATTATTGTAGAATGAAAGAGTGTCATTATTCACTATAGAACGTCCAGCCACGTTTGAAAAATTGTCATTGATTTCTTCAGGTCTACGTAGTTGAATTGGCATGCTATTGGTTTGCGAGGATGATTTTGTAGTAACATCCGTATCTGCAAGATTTCTCCTTGTCATTTTTGAATTGTTTTTATTTTTGTTCAAAACAAATTGTATATATGTTATTTTTTCACGTTTTACTGCGTCATTGACGTAGTTGCGTGAAGTTACATCGTACAGCTGCTGCTGTTTTTTCTTTAAGATACTTGGCATGAGCTCTATCACGGGTTTTCATCATCAATTCGATATTATAAGTTATATATGGGGATGCAATTCAGTTTAACTCAGTAATTAAGGTGGATATCTTGCACATTGTGGCCTTGATAGCTACAGGTTACCTGCCAGGATCAAGATATCATAGCCACCCATTTGTGTTGCTTTGATTGACAGCTGATCAGATTCTAACTAGATTGAGGTTTGTCAACCTAGGAGTGCATTATTCTTCACATTATGCTTCACTTTTTTACAAATCACGAAATGTAGGAATATATCTTAACGTAATGAAATCAACTGTCTCAAAATTCTATAAGTCTGACCTACATAAAGAGTGAACCTCAATTCCCGTTTCTCATGAATAATTCATTCGCTTTCAATTTGTTTTGATTATCACGAATTTCATAATCAATAGATTCCATTAATTTTTAATTTGTTGAGCTTGACCCAGCGAGACCGATTTGAAAAGACCAATCTCGAATTACAATGGTTATGCTAATTGCATTGGAAAGCTTACGGTTTTTGAGGATCTGTTTACAATGTTCATCATCAATTTCTCATGGTTATAATAAACAGATAATTAATTATTTCCTGTGGATTTTTCAAAGCTGTATATATGTTAATTTGGTGTTTATATGGCTGTTAATTCGACTCAGACATTTGTTTGCGTAGAGATATTGGAAATATCGTTATACTACTGATCGGTTTCTCTCAGAATTTTCAAATACTCATAATAGCAATTTAAAAAAAAATCTTATAACAGTTCAATCTAGACGTAGGTACGCGATTTGAAAAAAAGTTCAGTGGAGTGAAGAATAATCCAAGATTTGCATATAAAAATTGTGATGCTACATAGATAGATCGCTGATTTGTTCAACATAATATTTGCAACAGGTCATATGAATAGACAGTTTCATTTCCAACACTAGGTTGTGAACACTTAGACAATTAAAAAAGAAAACAATGAACAATAATAAATATGGCACAAACAAATCATTTCACAAAGAGGCCAAGATCATAAAACTGCAATAAGAGTAATATTTTCAAAACGTTTCAAAACCCCAACAAAACTGTGATAATATCCTTCACCAGGAGGAGAAAATTGGACGATCTAACGCCACTTTCCCTCAATGGTGAGGTCATTCCATTTGGAACGGAGGTGAAGTATCTTGGCATTGTCCTTGATAAAAAACTCACTAATCGGCTTCGTTTAGAAGCTGAGTTCATTTGGTCGAGTGTAAATAGATTTGAGCCACAATAAACCTTTGCGGATTTCGGTGAAAGATAGAATAGACCCACTCACTTTGCACCTAACCTCACCTAACCTATATTTTCAATATTGAAATTAATAACTAACATTCTCATTGTATATGTTAAACTTATATAAAACTATAATATTATCAAAATTCATTTTGTAAATACTCTTCTACACTGTGAAACCATCTAAAACATCTATATTTGAAATTTTCCGTTCGGGAAAATTCCAAAAAAAAACTTGAATGTAATATGGAAACTTATTCTATGTGCAATAAAAAAAATATATTTCACGTATTCGAATTGTTTTATACTATTGAATTTTTTTTCCCCAGATCCAAAATGCTGTCTCTCCATGTGCGTGTCTGTTATCAAGTTGGTATCATCAGGAGATGATGCTAAGAGATGGTTATCAGGAGATGATGATGCTAACTTGGTGAGCGAAACGCGCATCGGAAAAGGATAAGGAAAAAGTATTTTCAGTATATTCGTTTCATGCCAGAGATTCCAAATTCCACTCATCAAGTGGTTTTCTCAACCTTCTAGCTGTGAGAGCGCTAATAATACGAGATATTGAATACGAGAGTAGTTGTGAATGCTTGATGTCAAAAATACGTCTATCGCCATCATGGGCTATAGTATAGAAAATTTGTTCACATGGGAAACAGGAAATTAACATAGACAATTAGTGCCTCTTAATGACCTCCGGTCTTTGTGAGGTTAATATGATCTTCTTCTTAAATCCTGCAAAAGATGATCGTTAATCTCGGCTCTCCGAGCTGCGAATTTACAAGTGTAACCAGATTTTGTTTCAAGCCTGTGACCACTAGGCATTTCCTGCGTAAACGATGAACTGGCATGGACTGTCTCAACCTTACAACATGAGCTGAAAAGTCTCTGGTCTCGTACATAGATGGTGCTAGTCTTTTTGCATTGCTTTAATTTTAAACTGCTTCTAGATGGGAATGCTGAACTTTTTGTTGCAATGGTTCAACTATTTTTATATAGTTGAATACGTTCATAATCGAAAGAGGAAAATCAAGTTGCGTAATGACTTTTCATTTATCAAAATTGACAACTACTTCATCAAAACAAATATCAACATCTAAACATGTCTATAGGGCACACTCAAAATTAAATAAAACAGTTTAATACAGAGCTGACTAAAAATCAACCATTTCTAACACTCCCCCTGGATCTTTGATCCCCAATTCTCTCAAATGCTCCATCGAAACGACTGCGGCAACACATTTCGTCAGTTGATCAGCCAAATTTTCTCGTGATGGAACATATTTCAAAACTATTGTTTTTTCTTCTATCAAATCTATGATGTGAAACATACGCAAATCAATGTGTTTTGACCTTTCGGAAATTATATTGTTTTCGGCTAGTTTAATCGTACCTTGATTGTCGATAAAAATATGAAAATAATCACCAAAAAATTGTTCCGTTGATATTTCATGAACCAATTTCTTTTAAAAAATGATTTCTTTGGCTGTTTCGCTCAAGGCAATGAATTCTGATTCTTCAGTACTTAGTGCAACTACAGTGTTGCTTACGGTTGGACCAACTCACAGCTCCTCCTCCAATTTTGAAAACATAGCCACTTTTGGACTTTCAGTCTGTTTCATTTGACCCCCAATCTGCGTCACTATAGGTTTACATAATAATTTTTCCAGTTTTGGAATATTCTAATCCATAGTTTCTTGTCCCATGTAGATATCGGAGAATATGTTTTATACCCATCCAATGGTGCTTTGAAGGTCTATGATTGAACTGACTCATAAATGTTGCGGGGAATGCTGAATCCAGTCTTGTCGAAACTGCCAAATATAAAAGACTTTCAACAACTCTCTGATATAATTTTGTATCTTCCTCATTTAAGGGTTCATCGTCATCAATTTTAAGTTTTTCTCCTACGGGTAGATACCTTCTTCGCTTCCA